GGAAAATGAGTATCGCCAATATTGAAGAAAATAAAAATACAGTGAAAACTACCTATTTATTACAGCTTTTAGTCTTTAGAAGCACAGAGGCTGAGGCCTCCTCTGTTCTTAAAAAGATAAATTTATACAAAAAGAGGTTTTAAAGCTAACATCTTAATTTTAATGGAGAAAGGGGAGGACAAGCCCTTCCCACCCAGAACAGGTAATCCAATTCCAGCCAGCAGCTATCTTTAAACAATGTGTTCATTTACATTTGAATGGCTATGCCTTTTGATAGCCTAAGGGCAAGTTTACATGTAAACAAGTTTGCTTCTCAGTTCCCAGGGCAGAAAAACAAGGTTTAAAATTATTAGATTTTAAAATTTATTCTTAAAAATATAAAAGTTTATTAATATAAAAAAAAAACAAGGAAATTAAAAAACCTGATGAACAATATTAACTGTTGATTATAATAGAATCAGAGATATGGGAGGGGAGTGGACTGACAATTCTCAGGGAAAAGGGGAGTGGTGGATGCAGGAAGAGACTGAACATAAACTGTGCACCTATGGATGAGGACAATTGGGGGTGGGGAAAGGGCAGAGGGTGGGGTGGGAACCTGGCGGAGAGGGGAAAAATGAGGAACTTTTGTTATAATATGAACAATAAAGATTGATTTAAAAATAAAAATAAAAATAAAAAAAGATAAATTTATAAACTTTAGCTATTAAAGACCAACAGCATCAAACTGAGACTTTCTTTGACACAGAAAGGTTGAAAGAGAATTGAAATGGAAATAACATTCTCACCAGGCAATTCAGTATGCTATAGTATAGTCTTCAAGGTAAATGAAATTATCTTTACCAGTACAGTGTTTTTCTCAAAGGAGAATTGTGATAATAATTATTATAAATATTTATTAATCACAAAAATTATAATTGTTTTAGTAATGTGCAATTGAAATAAATAACTTTGGTCATAGAGTAGGGTAAAAATGATCTGCTGAACCAGCCAGAATTAGGGGTGGGGGTGTGTGGAAACCCTATAAACTCACAAAGTTTATTTTGACCAATTCTAAAAAACTGAGTAACATGAAATGTTTTTACTCAAATTTAATGTTTGAGTGCATTACTTTGGAATTTCTTCTAAATTACTATTTCCTTCATCTTAAAAAATTAGTATATGCTCTAGCTACTTGAAATAATTCTATATATTGGGCTCTTTGCTTAGCACTTTGTTATCATGATTTAATCATATCCATTTCTGAGAGGTAGATCTTCATTTTAAAAATGTGAAAATGAGGTCCTTAGAAGTTTAATGATTTGGCTAAAATTTTATGACCAGTAAACCTGTCTGACTTTAAAGCCCTTTTTCTTAACCAATAAAGCTATAATAATGTAAGTGTACAGTAAAGTCTGTTAATGAACCAGGAGCATGTCTTTGAAAAGTTTATTCAATAATTTTTCAGTTCTAAGAAATGGTAAGTTGCCAAATGGCCACCAAATTTTCTATAAGCTTTAGTATATTAGGCTTTTGTTATATAGGATAGCCAAGATTTGAAAGCAACCTAAGTGTCCATCAATAGATGAGTGGATAAAAAAGGGAAATTTTACCCTTTGTGGCAACATGGATAGACCTGGAGGTCAATATGCTAAGTGAAATAAGCCAATCAGAGAAAGACAAGTACCATATGATTGCACTCATATGGAAAATCTAATCAACAAAATGAACTAACAAGCAAAACAGAGATAGACATAGATAGAGAACTGACAGCTATCGGGTGGTGGTGGTGGTGGTGGTGGAAATAAAGATTTTATTCTTATAGTAGGGGCAATAGATTAGTGATGATCCAGTCACAACTCCTTTCCTAACCTAATCCTTGGCAGACACCAGGCAAGGTGCATTCTAGAGAATAATTTGAAGGTTGTAAGATAGACAAGTGATTCCCCCCAACCTTTATTCTAGGGTTTCTGTTTGGATTAGTTCAGATTATCAGAGTGCTTTATTTTCTTTGCTTCCAGGAGAGTTGGGATTATTGTTTCTCTCAGTTACCCACTTGGTTAAAATTGAGGGTTTTTATTAAGACATTGCCATTTAAAACCTGCTGATACATTTACTGTAGGGATGTTATTGAGGACATTACTATAATAGTTGCTCATTGCCCCTATATAATGACAACTATTTAGGATATTTTTCATTTTGAGTGTCAGAAAAAGTTTAGTTATTTCTATAAGTGAACTGACCCTGTTTCCTTTGTTATTCAGACTGCCAGCAAGCTAACTTTTATTTTTATGTTCTTATTGTGCCATTTGTGTAAGATGCCTCAGATCATGACAAGAAATACATGATGCTGTCCTTCCAGGGAGACTTTTTGCATACTTTTAAAATAATTAAAAATTTACCTAAATCCTGATCTGTCTCATATGTTTATTAATAAGACATAATGCATCTTCTTCTCATTTCTTCCTACATCATTCAGTATTGTGCATATGAATTTGGCACTGTATAATAAAACCTCACTTGTATGTCAAGGAAAATTAAGTAGTATTTTAAATACATATGTTTTAATTGCAGTAATATATTAGGTCTAGTAATAATTAATGTCGTTTTCTAATACCTTTTTTTTAAAAATCGAATTTATTTAAACAATACAACAAAATTTAATCAACAATATAGTTGCCGTTGTTTTCTATTACTTGTGCCCAACGCTCAGGAAGCATTTTAATCCCTCTGTTGTAAAATTCTTGTGATTTTGATGCAAAAAATTCGGTCAATGCATTTTTGAGGCATTCTTCATTATTAAATTTTTTTCCAAGAAGAAAGTTTTGCAAAGAACGAAACAAATGGTAATCGGAAGGGGCAATATCAGGAGAATATGCAGGTTGAGGGAGAACTTCCCATTCCAACTGGCGCAGTTTTTCAGCAGTGATTCTTGCAGTATGCGGTCGTGCGTTATCGTGGTGAAGAATTACGCCCTTCCGATTAATCAGCGCGGGTTCTTTTTCTCTTAAAGCTTGGGCTAACCTTTCCAATTGGGCACTATATACTGCACTTGTAATGGTTTGGTTAGATGGTAAAAGTTCATAATGAAGAATTCCTTTAAAATTCCACCAAACACACAGCATCACTTTTTTCGCATGCAAGTCAGGTTTTGGCATGGGCTGCGGAGCCTCATTTTTGTCCAACCATTGAGGCCGCCTTTTCAAATTAACATACAGCACCCATTTTTCATCTCCGGTAACAATTTGCTCTAAAAACGGTAAACAGTTTTGACGAGAGAGGAGCGAACTGCAAATTGTGACTCTTTGATTACGGTTGTTGTCGGTCAACTCATGAGGAACCCATTTTCCAAACTTTTGGACTTTGCCAAGTGCACGCAATTGATTGGAAATTGTTTTTTGTGAACAATTTAAAGTTGTCGCAAGCTCTTGTTGGGTAATTTGAGGATTTTGCACCAAAAGAGCTTGAAGAGCTTCTTGATCAAAATTGGACACACGGCCTCGACCACTCTTGTCATCTAACGAAAAATTTCCCTCGTGAAATTTCTCAAACCAACGCTGGCATTTTCTGGCGCTAACTGCATCTTGACCAAGAGCACTACAGATGTTTTTTGCAGCCTCACTTGCTTTTCTTCCTAATTGGAACTCGTAAAGCATGCAGTGCCGAATATGCTCTTCATCCGCCACCTTCTTAGCCTTAGTTTTGCAACAAAAACCAAACCAAACACAAACTTTTTCAAGCAAAACTTGTTAATTGCACTTCACAGGTTCTGTAGATATCACATGTTTGGAGGTTATGTCAATACAAGTCAACGCCAAGCAAGATTTTAAACGAATGTTTAAAAACGACATTAATTATTACTAGACCCGATAGGTATGCTTTATTATTAATGAATAATTCCACATTGAGATACAAAGGGCTTAATTATTTTTAATTTGAGGAAATTATATTTAAAAACCCTTTGTAACCTGTAATGAGAATATTTTGGTCTTTGGTATGTAGAATGAGCTATAGTCACTATTTTTCCATCAAACTCAAAAACCGTCTTATGATTCCTATGGTACCTCTATGTAAAATAACAATTCTTTATGTTTTAAAACATCTCATTTTGGGAGCATAATCTAATTGGTAATTTTAATTAATTTAATTAACAATTTGTTTATGAATTTGTTTATTGTTTATGGGTATGTCATTGCTCTATTTGTAATATTTCTTAGTATTTGTTCATTTTTGCAATGCTGTTCTTTATCTGGTAATTTGAGTAAATCCCAGTTGAATTATGTTGCCACATTATGTCTTCAAAAGGGCATAAAGTCAGTACACATGCTTCAGTAATATCTGGTTGTTTTACCCTTATGTTTCCAGTTGGCAATTTGAAATTATGGCTTCAACTGCACTTTAAATATGTGATAATAGCATGTGTTTCTAATAAGGGCCAGCACCATTTTGTTCAGATAGTGTGAATGGTTGTCACTCATATATGACAAATGCACCTTCATCTGCTTCTTTGATAGCCCCCTAAAAACCATACCCTCAAATCAGGCCGATGAAATTAGCTGCTGTGTAAATTGTGTGTCTGAGTGGTTCATTATCTAATCACCGTCAGAACCACAGTGATAAAGTAGATTGAAGCAGGGAAGAGGTCTGCCAGATGATTTTGCCTGCCTCCCTCAAATCCGGTTTCCCTTGGAAACCCTAACAGTCTTAGAACTTCAGGCTTTCAGCCTGGAATTCAGTACCTTAAAGTACCAAACCTGAAAATACCGGTAGTTCTGGAGCATAATTTTCTTTCTGTAAAGATCATAATTTTATTTTAGTCAGTTTTTGAAATGTTGAAGCTCTTAAATTACTGTTTTGTTGCTAGTGCCGTAAATATTACTAAATAGAAAAAATTGTTATATCTTACTTGCAAGAATTCAGAATAATTTATATAATTATTAACCTTATAGGGATTTTTATTCTAATAATGACTTTCTGGATTTTTAAAAATTATTTCATTTCTTCCTTTTAATTGATTTTAGGTGCTTTTGAAGATGATGACATCACACATGTTGAAGGAAGTGTAGATCCTATTCGAGATATAGAAATAATACATGAAGAGCTTCAGCTTAAAGATGAAGAAATGATTGGGCCCATTATAGATAAACTAGAAAAAGTGGCTGTGAGAGGAGGAGATAAAAAACTAAAACCTGAATATGTAAGTAAAATTTATAGCTTTAGATACTATAAGTTCATTTTTCTTGGTTAAGATTTTAAAATAAAATATCTAATATCAGTATAGAATTTTACAATCCAAGGATCTCTTTTGTTAAAAAATTATTGAGAAACTTCATTTTCTTTTTGCAACCAAGTATTATGGTGACAGGCTATTTTAGGTGTTCATTTAAAAAGTCATGTTTAGCTGTAATCTTGACTGTTTATATGGTTGCTGTCTATATCGTCAAAGTGTTAGTGATAGAGAAGTGTGGTCATTGTAGTTATTACATTTTTTAAAATAAATTTTTGTATTGATTTCAGAAAGGAAGGGAGAGGGAAAGAGAGAAACATCAATGATGACAAAGAATCATTGATTGGCTGCCTCCTGCACACTCGTTACTGGGAATTGAGCCCAAAACTTGTGCATGTGCCCTTGACAGTAATCGAACCTGGGACCCTTCAGTATGCAGGCTGATGCTCTGTCCACTGTACCAAACCGGATAGGGTTGGAGAAATTATTGAAAATCATCTAGAAGGAAATGTTGTGATAAAAGAGTCTTAGGGAGGTAGAATTATGAATGCTTTCCTCTTAAATGTTTTTATACTTTGATTTTATTGCTTTTATAAAAATAAACTTGGAGAAATGAACCCCAAAGTTAAAACTATTTATTAACTGTAGCAGACCATTTGAAAATCCAGGAACCAGGAATGTGATTAGAAGTTAGGAAATGGGTTATAAAATTTTCAAAATAAAAATGACAAGTTGCTTAATTTGATGTGGTAATACCACTGTGGGAGTCAGACTGTGGTAGGTGGGACTACTTCATGGCTCTTGGAGAAACAGTTATCATAGTAATTATTCTCAGCATAAATGAGGGTTTTTTGTGTGTTTTTTTTCCTCTTACAATGATACTCCTAAGCCAGTGGGAAGGATTGAGATAGAATCTCCTTTTTTTTTTAATGGGAATGAGAAGCATGATAATCTATATATATATATATATATATATATATATATATATATATATATATATATATAAAAGGCTAATATGTAAAGTGTCCCCTCGGGAGTTCAACCGGGATACCGGGAGTTCGGTCACTCATATGGCATGCATTGACCACCAGGGGGCGGCGCAGAGTGAAGGAAGGCCCCTGCTGGCATCTGGAAGGCCCTGATTGGCCCTGATTGCTGACCAGGACTAAGGACCCTACCCATGCATGAATTTCATGCCCCTTGCCTCTAGTGCAAGCATAATTGAACAGCATTAATTTAACACTGCATAAGAAATTTTACTTTCTTGGCTTATAGTAATTATTTTAAGCAAATCATTGTGTTTAATCATAATGCATTTGTAATATAGCACTTTGATCTTCTCCTTGTAGGAAATGTTGTTACATTAGCTACTTTTAAACATTTATGAGTGAAATTCACTTACAGCAGTATAAAAGTGATTATTCTTAAGCATAACATGTTAGATTTCATTACAAATAGTTAGCTTGCCCCTTCCTTGTTAAAATTTGTGGAAAGTCCTTTTTCTGGAGTGTTTCAAGTCAGCATCTAAAAATATAGGACTTTTTCCTTATTTTTCTGTTGGTAACAAAATTTGGGAGAAAGATATACTAAATATCGAGGTAATTTATATAAGTGGATAATTATAGAAGAACTGATTTATGGTTAAAGAAGAAAATACATCACGATGAAAAAAACAAAACACTATTATATTATGTGAACAAATAGGTATGATCTGATAGTCTTAAATCCTAACTCACTGAATCTGAGAAGTGTTGTTGTATTTTTTAATTGGGGGCTTTTGTTGTAAGGAACAGAAACTCAGCTTAGACTGTTTTAAGAAATGAATTTTTATTTTTAAAATGCAAGGTGAGAAGGAAATCCAAAAATATTCAAGAACAGAAAGTATGATATAGTCAGGCCTTTTGGAGTTGAATTCTATGTCATCCCAGGACAGCCTGTGCGTTTCTCTGGCGGTGCTCTGCTGTTCATCTGCTGTTTTATATATTGCTTTTATTTCTGATTTCTGCATCTTTGTTACTTCTGCTTACTTAGAGTTGGCTTATTTATCACATCAAGGTTGTGTGTGTGTGTGTTTAATGACCACTTCATAGGTCAAGTGCCCACTAGTTCTGGCCAGGAGACTATGTGGACTGAGTCAGATTACTTTAGGAGAATACTGGGAGTAAAGCGGATATTTAATATCCATGTTGAATAATGTATTTAATATACTGTGTAAAATGAGCAGCTCTACATTGTAAGTCCTCAGTGCTCACTGTTATTTGAGGACAGCAGTTCAGAAGTGCAACACTGTTTTAAGACTTCCAGGATAACAGAAAAGAATGTATTATATTTGAGGCAAGTGTCACAAGAATTAGACTCATTTGAGGCCAGACTACTTTAGATCCTTCTATGTATGTACATCCTAAGGGAAATTAGCTCATATAAGAACTGATGCTATGGTGCATACATTAAAGGCATACTTGCTTGGATATTCCCACCTGTCTACTTTCTCTTTGCCTATAGCCAACCAAACACATGAAGAAAATTAAAAATAGGATGTTAGTATCTCCATAAACTCCTTATTAGTTACCTTTCCTGTAGAAAGAGGAAGAGTCAGAGATCAGTTCTCTGATCTTTAAAAAACAACAACATTCATCTAGTAGAGCAACAAATGCTTAATATTCTGATTCAGGCAGATCCTAAATCTTAACTTAGAATATACAATGGAGGTTTATTTCATGAGAAAAAGCCCAGCTTGATGTTGTCTCAATTTAGAATATTTAAAGGGGATACTTGGGCTGAAGCAGGAGGAAGCTGTATTAGTGGACTTTCTAGCCAGACTTCTTTGAGGGGAGGCCTTGCTGCCATTTTTCTATTCTGAATGCATTGTTGGCTGTGCTATGTTAAAGCCACCCAGCCAGCACAGGTCAGCTCATCTGAGTGTCACCATCGGGTATTAGGGTAACGGGTTTGGCTAGAGGAAAGTATCAGGCTTGGAGGCTGTAATTATCACAGAATAAGAGTGAGTCACCTTGATAAAATGCCAAGTCTATCCATTTAGCCATCAAATTTTAGGATTACAGATGGTGGGCAGAGAATAGATGAAGTCCTTCCTTTACCCTCATCCTATTAATACAGGATGTTTAATATCCATAGTTTTTTAAAAAGAAGGCAGAAAAGGAGAGTCCTGTATAATCCAGTCTTGTAAATGTTTTTGTTGTTGACAATTTGAAATAGCTCCTATCCAGTTTCATTATTTGAATACATTTACTTTTACTTATTATATATAGTTTCAAAACCACAAATGGAATCATATTATGTGTTCTGTCATAAATAGTAATACTTAATGTCTATTGAACTGTGGCAGCTACTTTACATGTATTTTCTCATTTAATTCTTAAAATCATCATATTTAAATTGGGATTATTACCACTTTTATAGAAACAAACTTATGTTAAGTAGCAGCCCCAAAGTTACACAGTTAGAAACTGGCAGAGCCAGGGCTTATACCCAAATCTGTTTGATGATAAAATCCATATTCTTAAACTTATCCTGTTGTTCTGAACTTATTTTTTTCACTAAGCAATGTATTTTGGACATTTTTGCATGTGAATGTATATATAGATATATCTTGTCTGAATGGATAAAAACTGTTCTAAGAATACTCCATAATTTATTAGCAAATCTCCAGTTTATGGGTTTTTAGGTTGTTTCTTTTTAAAAATTGATTTGAGAGAGAGAGAAAAAAAGCATTGATTTGTTGTTCTACTTATTTTATACATCCATTGTTTGCTTCTTGTATGTGCTGTGACTGGCAATTGAACCCACAACCTTGACATATCAAGACGATGCTCTAACCACCTGAGCTACTCAGCCAGGGGCAAAGGTTGTTTCTAATTTATACCTTTCTTCTGGTGCTAGTATCATGCTGTTCTAATTACTGTAGCTTTGTGGTTTATTTTATATTTTTAGTCTTTTTGTTTATTTTTTATTTTTTGAATATATGTATATGTGTGTGTATATGTATTTTTTTCTTTTATTGTTTAAAGTATTATAAATAGTAGTACATATGTCTTCTTTATTTCTCCCATTTACCTTCCCCTGGCCTTCCCGACCCACTGGCACAGGCCATCACTCCCCCGCCCTCCAGTGTCTTACATTCATTGGTTATGCTTATTTGTATGCATACAAGTCCTTCAGTTGATCTCCTCCTCCCCGCTAGCCTTCCTGCTATAATTTGAAAGTCTGTTTGATGCTTCTCTGCCTCTGTATCATATCTTTTTGTTCATTCTATATAATAAAAGGCTAATATGCAAATTGGCTGAACAGAGTAATGACCAGTCACTGTGACACGCACTAACCACCAGGGGGCAGATGCTCAACACAGGAGCTGCACTTTGGTGGTCAGTGCACTCCAACAGGAGAGCGCCGCTCAGCCAGAAGCCGGGCTCACAGCTGGCTAGCACCGTGGCGGTGGAGGGAGCCTCCCACCTCCACAGCAGCACTAAGAATGTCTGACTGCTGGCTTAGGTACACTTCCCATGGGCTCCCAGACCTCCCCTGAGGACTCCTGGACTGCAAGAGGGCCCAGGCCGGGCTAAGGAACCACCCAAGTGCATGAATATTGTGCACCAGGCCTCTAGTCAGTTTATAATGTTTTTTATTATTCATTAATGAGTGAGATCTTGTATTTTTCTTTCACTGACTGGCTTATTTCACTTAGCATAATGCTCTCCAGTTCCATCCATGCTGCTACAAATGGTAAGAATTCCTTCTTTTTGCAGCAGCATAGTATTCCATTGTGTAAGAGCATAGTATTCCATTGTATATTGTGGTTTATTTTAATATATAGTAAAGCAGGACACATTTTTCTCTCTCAACATTTTTATACTCTCACGCAAGTCATTCTTTCAGAGTAATGATATTCAATTTGTAATGTTCTCCAACATCCCTATTGAGATTTAACTGGAATTATGTTAGATAAATGTAGAATTTTTATCTGCCCAGTGTTGATCAGGATAGATGAAAATCGAGTGCAGGGTCTGGCTGAAGCAAGATTTAGGTCAATGTCTGAACCTCGCATCTGGGAGTCCATGGACCTGGAACATTTACTTTATTGGCTGTTGTTGCATTTGAGTATTGCCGCGGAATCACTCACAACTTTTGTTCTTCATTTTTTGGATAATAAATCCCTTTTAAAAGCATTTGGAAGAAATGCGCCATCATCCTTCAAAGGCACATAAACAGAGAACTTTAAATACAGTTTTAGCCCTAGTTGGTCAGTGGATAGAACATTGGCCTGTGGACTGAAGGGTTCCACGGTTGATTCCTGTCAGGGGGCACATGCCCAGGTTGCGGGCTCAATCCCCAGTAGAGGTGTATAGGAGGCAGCCAATCAGTGGTTTTCTCTCCTCATTGATGTATCTATCTCTCCCTTCCTCTCTGAAATCAATAAAAAATATGTTTTAAAAAATTCAATTTCAGGGTGAGGGAACCACTGATTCTGTGGATTACAGATGAATGATTTCTGCTATGGAAACTGAAGAATATCAAAATAGAGAAGACTAGTAATTATTCTTGGAAAATCTAGTAAATAACTGGGTTGTATTATTTTATGCAGAGAAAAATATTATTTTTGTGATACATGAATTGACAGATTGTACCTAAAAAGTAAGGATATCGAATTTCTCTGATGACCTTGGGATGAGAATGAAGACTGAAATGACAACTTTCGGAATTGCTAGGCTAAAAAAGGAGCAATTAGAAAGGCAGTAAAGAAGACAAACAGGCCAAGATGATAGGATAGAACTTGAATTTCGAATCACTTAAATCTGAATTTTAGTCTCAGCTATGCCACTTACTAGCTATGGGAATTTAAGCAAGTCACACATCCTCCCTGATTCTAAATAACATTACAGGTGCTATTAACAACAACAATATAAAATGCATAAAACATAGAGCATTTTAAAAGTGAAATATGATGTTTTTGGTAAGATGAGTCAGAGTAGAAGAACAAGGTATCTGAGGTGTGTTTGTATTAAGTTTTTTTTTTTTTTTTTTTTTTTTTTTTGCAGTTAAATGATAGTTCAACAAAAGCTAGCTAATTCTTGTAGAATGTTAAGACTAGAAACCTGAATTGAGTTCACTGAGAAAGCCAGTATTGTTGGTAACCTTCAGTAATTTGGAAAAAAGGACTACTGAACAATTGTTCATTTGTGAAAAATGTATACTTATTTGCTTTAAAGGAGTGCCTAAAGAAATATATTGCCATTTTGTAGATCACTAGCATTTAATCTTTCAACAATCATAATAACAATAGCCACAACTCACATTGACTGAGAACTTACTCTGTGTCCAAAACTGCACTAAACTTCTTATATGCATTATCTCTTTTGATGATCATAGCAACCCCTAGGAGGGTAAATAGTATTCCCATCTGAATTTTATCAGTGAAGTAATAGGATTTATTTCCACACTTATTAAGCTGTTAACTCTACAAATAGTATACACACATCACTGCCTTGTAACAAAAAAAGTTCAAATGGACAGGAATTTTTGTATAATCTCCATCATGTGCAGTATTTATTTTGAAAATGAGCAATTTGCTATAGTTATCAAAACAGTCCTTCTATATCTGTATTTCTACATCACGATGTTACTAAAGAAATACAAAATCCTAAAATAACTTCTGAGTCATCAAGCATTAAAATGTTTTATTTTATGTGCTTACCGTATTTTAATTGTTAAAAGTAAGTTAGGTATGTACTAGATTATTTTTTCAGTTAACGAAATTCGCTGAACTGGGACCCTTTCTTGTTCTAACCATAATTTTATATATACAAGCATAAGAAAAAAAATTCAGTCAGTCCATTAAATATTATATGCAAATAAGTCCAAATGTGTTTTTTTTTATTATCTAATTAGAAGTCTTTTAGATAAGGAACATAATATCTTTTAATTTCTTGCTAAAATTTAATTTTTACTAAAAGTAAGAAAAACAATGCATTGCAACTGTACCATATAATGATCACGTATGTAACATAATCTTATCTGATCAATCTATATTTTGTCTTTAGTAAAACTGATATCTTTTGCTAATCTGTCTTTTCCTGGCTTTTAAATATTTTGTGGGAATAATTAAGAGAGAACTGAGTACAAAATAAAATATCTTAAATTTTAAGGTATTTTTATTTTCAACTGTTCAAAGATAGTGACAAATTTTCTAAAAAGATTTCAGTGTGGCTTTAATTAATACACTATTTGGTAACTTTAGTTATGAGTTAATTCTCTTTAAAATTTGAGTGCTTCTAATTTATAATACAGTATTTAGGTATAAGGAGGGGGGATGCTAAAAAGCATTTGTGATAAGACTTTTATGTCTGAAGCGATGGTCTAGTTAATTTAAAATGAGCGAGATATACTGGAATTCCTTCACTGGCATCCAGCATTTATTGAATCCCATTCATTTTGTAAAAGTGTTTATAGTTACAAAAGTATTTTATACTTTTTACATGATTAAAATTTAATTTCCTTCTTTATTTTTGGTTTGGCTTTCTTTTGTCTATTTTCTTCTCTTCTCTTTCTTTAATTAAAAAAAAAAAAAACTAAAGAAACCAAATATAAGATGGCACCACTGTTTTCTTCTATCTTGTTGCGTATCCCTACATAAGCTGCGCTGGCCACTCATCATAGTAACCAGCTGGGCCATTTCACCTGCTGGAGCCATTAAAGAGGACTCTCTCCCCCTAGATTAATCCCCTCCGACATTAGTTTTTTACACTGACAACTGGAGCAGGCATTCAGAATTTGCAGGTGGCCAGTGTGACGCACATAATTGCCTACAATTTTAGGCAATGAATAAAAATGGTCTACATTACTTGTCAAAGGTTGTATATGCAGTGCCAAGTGAGATCTATGGGAAGCCTTTTAGGGTTTAAAGAACAGTTAATAGCAAGGCTGCACAGGGCTTTTTTAATCATAATGCATTTGTAATATAGCACTTTGATCTTCTCCTTGTAGGAAATGGTGTTACATTAGCCACTTTTAAACATTTATGAGTGAAATTCAGTTATAGAAGAGTAAAAGTGATTATTCTTAAGCAGAGCATGTTAGATTTCATTAAAAGTTTTTAGCTTGCCCCTTCCTTGTTAAAATCTGTGGGAAGTCCTTTTCCTGGAGTGTTTCAAATCAGGATCTAAGAATATAGGACTTTTTCCTTATTTTTTCTGTTATTAACAGCAAGATTTGGAAGGAAGATATACTAATATTGAGGTAAATTATATAAGTGGATATTTACATAAGAATAACTGATTTATGGTAAAGGAAAATGCATCAATGAAAATTAAAAAGACCTATTACTAATAATTGTGTATTGCAGATTTTTAAAATTGCATGTTTTAAACATCCATAAATTATCTTTAACAACAAAAAACAGATGACTCTCAAATGCACTTCTTCTGGAAGAGCTAAGTTTGACCTTTCAGACCCCAGAGCCTTTTATTAACACCTGCCTGTAAGGGGAACCTTGCCACACGCAGCTTTTAGATTCAGAACCACAAAACTGATGAGGAAAGGCTTGAAGGGTTCAGTTTGTGTCACTTGCTGTTTGCCGTTTCCATTTCACAGATGATTAATCTTTCTGTGAAGAAAGGCCAGAGAAACAAAGCACATTGAGCTCTTCCTGCAGTTACTCCTTCTGAATGCACACTAGCTTGCTAACTAAAAGGCCTTTAGATTTCCAGCAGAGAGAGATGTTCTGAAAGTGAATGCAGCTGGTTGGAGGTCACCAGTGCAGGGCTCTTGCCATTGTGTAATGGAGGCTTTGGCAGGTTGGAGGGGGATTGTTGGAGTGGGGACAGGAGAAGTGGGCAGGGAGAAGGTGTTGGCAAAAATTAATTCATATTAAAAAGGGTTATCAATAATAGATTCAAGTTCATCTATTTGTTTGGTTTTCTTTTTAAGAAAGAAATTATAATTTAGTCTCTCTCTAGTGTTCCCCCTCCCCCAACCCCCAATTTCCTAGTAGTATGTTTATCTTGCAAGTGGCATCACTTGGTAATGTTGAAATATTACTGTCTTTAATAGTTGAATTGTCTTAAAAATGTTAAGACCTTTACTAATTTTGCTAGTATTTCAGATTTTATATATTAATATTTTAATGCTACAATGTTTCATTGAGATGAGATACTGAAAGTAATTATCTGTATGTCTTAGTTCCCCCTTTAATTTTAGTATTTAGTTGGATTTTAGTCTAAATGCTTAGTAGTGTTCTTGTATTTACTTTTTTTCTCAATCGTATATAGGACATAATGTGCAAAGTCAAATCCTGGGTTATAGATCAAAAGAAACCTGTTCGCTTCTATCATGATTGGAATGACAAAGAGGTAAGTTATAAATATTATGCCATTTATTATTGCCTTTGCTTTGATTTCTTAGAGAACAAATTAAAGTTGTTATTATTTTACACTAATGATTATATCTAGTTCTGTCAATGATTGCTTATTTCCAGGATTGTTAATTCTTTTCTCCTGTTCCTGATATTTTATAATAACTAATCTTTTAGAAAGAAGATTTATAAAAATGCAAAAGGCTACTTGTTTAAACAGTTAAATAGTTATCAAGTTTTAAAAGGGATTATTTTTCTGTTTCTCACTTTAGATTGAAGTGCTGAATAAATACTTATTTCTGACTTCAAAACCAATGGTCTACTTGGTTAATCTTTCTGAAAAAGATTACATTAGAAAGAAAAACAAATGGTAAGTTTTTCCTCCTCAGGTATCCAGACATATCATATCTGTATACAAACACATACATATGTATATACTGCTATGTTGGATTTTAAATTTTTCCCCCTTATTAAAAAATTTAAAATGGATGAGAAAGCTTTGCCTGGGTTTAAATTCTGAGATAAATATTTTAATTTATTTACACTGAGAGAACTAAAACAAACAAACAAACAACTAAATTAGGTAATATTGAATCATACATATTTACTTTTCAAATTTAAATTTAAAGAACATTATTTGTTTTCTTTGCAAAATGAGAATAAATGTAGTTAAAGCAATAAAAAATTTTAAGCTAGGAATTTTAGCTGTGCTGATAAATGACTTTAAAATATCTACTTGGGATTACAGTTGGACATAAATTTTAAAATCCAGATCGAATGCTTTAAAAAAGTTATTTTTAATTTAGAATAAAAACAACTGTGGGGCAGAGGGAGGACCAAATATATTTCAAATACTTTAAAAGTGTGGCAAAGTTAAAAAACTATGTATCCATGTATTGATTATAATTGTTGACATGCAACCATAATGTGTAGTTTCCTTTCACTCACTAATAACTTCAAAAAAAATCTATATTTTCATATAACATGTGAACATATACACATTTGGCATAATACTTGCTTTGACTTGCCCCTCTGGGTTCTCAGTATTTTATACAAACAAATCAAAACTATCCACAGCAAAATATCTAAATTCCCCTAAAATATATTGTCGGTTTTTTCCTGTACTTCATTAAGTACTTAGATGCACATGGTTTCAATTTTCCATTAAAAATTCTCATTCCATATGATATCAAAGAGTGAGAAGCTTTAAACTGAAAAATAAACATTCATAGACTGGAAGCCAAAACAATAATTAATGTCAGATGGTTAACTCCAATAAATCATTAGAATAAATTCTGTGAAATTACTGCAACTAAAAATGTCCTTTTAATATTACTATAAGACATTTTGTGTTCCTGATAGAAAGTTGAATTTGACCTCTTTATTGGTAATATTCTAGAAAGCATAAACTTAACATGAAAATTTTGTTCTCACTGGTCAGTGTCCTCCAATAGATAAATTTAAAATAAACACTTGTGTCTTGTTTCAAATTCTTATAAATTTGATGATTAATGTGTTAAAAATTGTTACCTTTGGGAAAGAATTTTAAATTTATTGACCTTAGTTAATAAATCTTCTCATTATGGTATAAATGGTAAGGTTTCCTGAGGTTCTGTGAAACAATACTGACATCAAAGTATCCATGAAAAGGGATGAGTCAGTTTCCTTGCCCAGAGGGGCTTCTCACACCTGTATTTGGATGATTACAGGTAGAACTCCCTGGCTCTAATTGTATAGTAAATACTATTTCCCATACCCTAATGGTAGACAGACTGCTTGGGAGACGCCAGTCTGTGATTTAGCTGTCGCCAGACACCCCATGTTTTTTTGTGAGACCAGTTGTGATGATGATATGGTTATAGCCAATTGAAAGTAAACCAACTCTTGTCTAAATAGCAAATTTTAATTTATAAACATGTAGAGGAATGGATGGTCCTATTTATAAAATCAAATTTTAGATTTTTATGTATAATTAATGATCTGGTTTGGGTTGTGTGTAAGTTTGGGGGACTGAAGGGAGAGTTAGCTCTTGTGGAAGTTAGTGTAATTGTAGCTGAAAGATCAAAGACTGGGTAACTGAGTGATGTTCCAGAAGAGAATTTACCACATAGCCATTTTCTGTACAGTTTCTGCCGCCTGCTGTTCCTATTTTCCCTCAGGCTAGCCATTGACTACCCCCTGTGCATCCCTGCTCGTAAAAAATGATTGCGGAAGTATTTGTCATGTATTTATGAGTGGGAAACATTGTGTGATAGGGAATGGCATCTACTGGAGCCAGAAAGATTGCCATTTGTCTTTCATTCACCCACTCTGCTACAGCTTTAAATTCTCTGTTTATGCAACATAGCCTTTGTATTAAAGTGCAGAATAAATTTTTATTATGAAGGATTTGAACACTAGGTTTTCACCATTTATAACACTGCAAGCAGATGTAAATAGTTAAAATTCATTTTCAATACTAAAGCCTTTTAATTTTTGCTAGCATCTTGGTTTATTTATTTATTTATTTATTTATTTATTTATTTATTTGGTAATATCTAAACTTCACTTGCATTAGCTGCTCCCTTAGCAAAAGAAAAGATTTTGCTTTTTAAGATTATTATGTAATGCTACTGAAGCAAATTAAGACTGATGCAGGAAGCAGCAATAAATATTTTCCTGGGTCTTTTAGGTCTATAAAGCTATTTTAAATGGTCAGGAAAGAGGAGTTAGGGTTTGTGATTTTGGCCACAAGAGAAAGACTAAAACTGTATTTTCATGTGTTCAGAAGTAATAAACAATTTAATTATTGAAGTTCACTTTAAATTTAAATGGAATGTTATTTTTCTGTCTTAGAAAAATGGGACACATTTTGAAAGCTAAAATCTATCGTTAGTGAGTAGGTGTATTGACCTTTTGAAAGATGTAACTTGACCATCACTCTGCTATGCCCACCAGCCAATCAGGAGCAGGTTAACCCAACAAAGATGGTGCTGGAGTGTCTGAGCCTGTCAGCCTTGCTGGGGGCTGCAGGAGCCCAGCAGCAAGGCTGGATCCACCGCTGGAGGGGTTGGATCCAGCCTCGCCGCTTGCCTCTGCTGAAGTGTTTGGGCCTGTTGGCCAGGCCAGGGATTGAGGGGACCAAGCAGCAAAGCTGGATCTGGGGATGGATCCAGCCTCGCTGCTTCGCTGCTGCTGGAGTGTCCAGGCCTGCTGACCTGCCCAGGGGCTGCGGGAGTCATCCGGGCCTGTCTGCCTGGCTGGGGGCTACGGGACCAAGTGGCGAGGCTGGATCTGCTGCCAGAGGGGCAGATCGAACCTCGCTGCTCCCCCACTGCTGGAGGATCCGGGCCTGTCAGCCGGGCCGAGGGCCACGGGAGCCCAGCAACGGGGCTAGATCCGCTGCTGTTGGAGTGTCCGGGCCTGTCAGCCCTTCCATGAGGCTGGATGCTATGTCCAAGGGGCACATGTAAATTGTCCCTTCAGGAGTTCTATCACTTGCTATGACGTGCGCTGACCACCAGGGGGTGGCGCAGAACGAAGGAGTACCTCAGCTGTGGAAGGGAGGCCCCGGCTGGCAGTCAGAAGGCCCCGATCAGCCCTGATCGCCGACTTGGTCTAGGGACCCTACCCATGCACGAATTTCTTGCACTGGGCCTCCAGTCTATAATAATAAAAGCGTAATATGCTAATTAGACCAGACATCCTTCCAGACAAAGCCAGGGCTACAGCTGGGAGATCCAAGCAGCTGCCGAGGCTCCGAGGGAGGTTATCCAGGCAGCCACCTTGGCTGTGAAGGAGGGATCAAGGTGGCCGCTGTGGCTGTGAAGGCCTATTCTTGCACGGATTTCGGGCATCGGGCCGTTCGTATTATATAAGAGTCAACTAATCTGAGTGTTGAAATTGATTTAGAATAGGTGGACAAATATTTGTAAAGTCTTAAAATGTTGTATACTCAGGGGCAGTGTGTCAAGCTCACCAAATGAAATTTTAAAAGAAAAAAGTTTTATTAGTTTTTATTATACTATATTTCACTCTCCCCATGTCCACTTTTCTTTTTTTGTTAGTTTTCCACATAATTTGTATACAATAACTAAAAGTAGTTTGGTGATACTTTACATTATGTGCTGGATTACTGGGAGAATTGTAGCGTAAATCCAATAGTCTTCATTTCTTGAACCATTTATAAGAATTGCAAGTACTATATCTCAGCAACTTTGTATAAAGGGGAAAATATGTCTTTTTTTTAACCTAACTTTATATGTACATTTATCTATAGATATATACACATATATCTATAAATAAAAAACTATCTCTTTAAAATGATTTTAAGAAGTCATGAATTTCTGACAAGATTATTCATTGAAGCTAGAAATTTAACACGTTGCTTTTTTATATATAATCATATTTTTATATATTTGATTTACTTGAAACAAATAAAATGGGAATGATTATTTTTAAATAAGTTATTTATTTTAGTTCAGGGGGCTTCTTAAGTAGATTTAAATTAGGTTCACTTTCATATAAAGTTCAGGATATTACATAAAGCAAGATTCACATGTATAAGATTTTTTAAATGTTTCATTTTAACATCCACTAGTCTGGCATAGTAAAAGTTCTGAAATATCCATGCGATGTTTCTTTGGTGTTATAATTTCTATTTTTTATCACTATGGTTCACAAAATTGGGAGAGGACGGGTTTGTGTTAGCTTCATGTTGACATACCTAACTTTATGAAGACTGTGGGAATGTGTTTCACCTACTTGAAATCTATATAAATAAAAGCCTAAGTGACCGTTCAACTGTTCGACCAGTAGCTATGATGTGCACTGACCACCAGGGGGCAGATGTTCAATGCACAGGCATGGAAACATGGAACAGACTGATGAATTTCAGAGGGAAGGGGGTGAGGAAGGGCGGGAATTGATTAACCAAGGATCTTATATGCATACTAGAGGCCCGCTGCACAGATTTGCACACCAGTGGGTCCCTCAGCCTGGCCTGTGGGGATCAGGCCAAAACCGTCAGTCTAACATCCCCTAAGGGAGTTCCAGATTGCAAGAGTTCACAGGCCAGGCTGAGGGACTCCACTGGTGCGCAAACGAAGCCTCTAGTTATAGCATAATTTTGGTAGGTTTATTTTAACGTGAGGAGGTTTTTAGTGGAACTACATTTTATAAGCTTTAATTTGTAAGTTTTTTCATAAATTAAATACTTTTTAGTAGTGATTTCTTTGTAGGGGTGAGTGCTTCTTTGCTTCTTTGACAGGTATTAAGAGAGTGGTAGAGCAGATCAGGAGTATTCTGGAATTCCAAATTGAGTAATTACCTTTTTTAAAAAATGGGATTGATTAAATCAGTAACTCCTATACAAGGTATTTTTAGGTTTAC